TTCTGGTTTTTCAAATGGTAAAAGTGAGGGACCATCTACTTTCAGTTCTAAAACTAGCCCAATTTCTATTCCTCAATCACAAAAAGATATTGTTCAGCCCATTTTGTCACCCTCAAAAAACCTAAACCCGAATGCTCCTGTTTTTGTTCCTCAAAGCTTAAATTCAAGTTTATTATCAGGTGCAGGAGAAAAAATAAACATCTCATCGAAACAATTAGAGGGAATGAAGAAAAATCGTGACTCTGGAAACGAGTCATCGGTAAATAAGGATGAGAATGACGAAGAATTCGTATATCCTAAATCAGATGAAGATGAGTTTGTTTATGACTCTAAAGATAGTAAAGATAGTGATGATGAGTTTTTCTATGGATCTAGCTCGAATGATGAGATGGTTTTTCCTCATGATATTTCTAGTGATAACAAGAAAGACAAGAAAGACAAGAAAGACAAGAAAGACAATGCTGCAAAAAATGGTATTAGTAGCGTTATTACTGCTACTAAAGTCGGAAACACCGAAAATAGTAATGTTCCGGAAATCACGGTCAAATTTACTGGCAATACCGTGAGCAAAGTTAATTAATATTTTCTTTACATTCATTTTAATTATTATATATTTGTTTAAATACTTTGGGAATTTGTGTATTATGGCATATATTCGTATATAGTATATTGTCGTGTTCTTTTTTTTTTTTGTTTTGCGCGACAAATTTTGGCCTTATTTATATTTCATGTATCTAAATATATTGCATCTTTTTATTAAAATATTTAAGATGCTTGTTCTGAAATCCATAATCTGAAAGCCTTATTACACGTGAAAAAGATGATACAAGTGTGATAATACAGAATTGATATGCACTGTCACGCTTCGTGTAACACTAGTGCATTATCTATATGTATAAAAAATTCGTTGCTCGTAATGAACTTAAGTTCAATCCATTATGTCTTCCCCAGTATATGTTGCAAGCTGCATTTTCTGCAGAATTGTAAAGCGTGAAGTGCCGTCAGCTCTCGTTTATGAAACAAATTACTCGTGAGTTTAATTATACTCAAACTTGTGTAAAAAAAACTATA